CGAACATTTCCAAAGTCGACTTTCCGGTGACACCACGCTGCTCCATCGAGGTCAAGTAGCGCATACACTCCATAGTACTTAATACACTTAGATTGACAGGGCTTCGTAAAGGGACGATAGAGAACCACTGCGCGATACTCTCCCCATTAATTGCACCCAGCTCACGAAACGTACTAGTAAACAGGACTTGCCGTCGATCCGCCTCCGTATTCTCGTAGAGCCACTCTATGAAGCGAGATAAAGTTCGTAGATAGACGTACTTGGTGTTGTCAGAGGTGATACTTCCCAGCACTTGCTCAACGCGAGCATCGAGAGCTTCCATCGTTACTTAAACTGCGACTCTTGCCGATAGAAACTGTATCGAAATAGCATAGAAATATTTCTAGTTTTTGTTTCGTTCACTTTGCACGACGAATTCCATTTATCTATACTTCTACGGAAATCGCCGTGCGAATCTGCCACTTCGTATAGAATTCGGGGTGCAAATTGACCGGCGAATTCCACGAATGCAAAAATGCCAGATATACAAAAATCAAATGAAACTGTCAATAATGCAAAATGTAGTGGAATTCATCGTGCAGTTTGCACGAAGCATATTGTGCCGCACATTTGGTACACAGTGTGAAAGTAGAAACACTACCACTTCGAAGTAAATGTGTATTGTGTAAGCTTACCGCTACTCACCTACGTAATGGTAGCTAGTCTAGCTGGAGCTGTGCCTTGCATGCTCACGGGCGAGTGTTCTCCACGATAGTTGGTCAAGTCTATGCGCTCTTCCTTTACTCGACGTCGATGAGAACGGTAAACGATTCTTTACTTGCTCAAAAAGAAGGCCAGCCGAATCGAGAGAGCTGTGCGCTCGCAGGACCTCATCACTCGTCAGAAGTGCTTCAACGAAGCGCATCAGCCGCTGAAGCTCTGCAAGCCGGATCTTTTGTAGTCTTGAAGCCATATCGTGCTTTGATAGCTGCTTTAGTGGCGGTTGCCCAGCACACCATTGCTGCCACACAACGCGAACGGTTCTTGCGGGTAGCACAAACTCTCTTGGCACTTGATGAAAGCCCCCACCCCATGTGTAAAGCTCGGTGTGCATCGTTGCAGTAGCATTCACCGAGGACTCTGTCTGAGTGTGAAGGTACACTATCGCCGAGCGAACATTTCCAAAAGTCGACTTTCCGGTGACACCACGCTGCTCCATCGAGGTCAAGTAGCGCATACACTCCATAGTACTTAATACACTTAGATTGACAGGGCTTCGTAAAGGGACGATAGAGAACCACTGCGCGATACTCTCCCCATTAATTGCACCCAGCTCACGAAACGTACTAGTAAACAGGACTTGCCGTCGATCCGCCTCCGTATTCTCGTAGAGCCACTCTATGAAGCGAGATAAAGTTCGTAGATAGACGTACTTGGTGTTGTCAGAGGTGATACTTCCCAGCACTTGCTCAACGCGAGCATCGAGAGCTTCCATCGTTACTTAAACTGCGACTCTTGCCGATAGAAACTGTATCGAAATAGCATAGAAATATTTCTAGTTTTTGTTTCGTTCACTTTGCACGACGAATTCCATTTATCTATACTTCTACGGAAATCGCCGTGCGAATCTGCCACTTCGTATAGAATTCGGGGTGCAAATTGACCGGCGAATTCCACGAATGCAAAAATGCCAGATATACAAAAATCAAATGAAACTGTCAATAATGCAAAATGTAGTGGAATTCATCGTGCAGTTTGCACGAAGCATATTGTGCCGCACATTTGGTACACAGTGTGAAAGTAGAAACACTACCACTTCGAAGTAAATGTGTATTGTGTAAGCTTACCGCTACTCACCTACGTAATGGTAGCTAGTCTAGCTGGAGCTGTGCCTTGCATGCTCACGGGCGAGTGTTCTCCACGATAGTTGGTCAAGTCTATGCGCTCTTCCTTTACTCGACGTCGATGAGAACGGTAAACGATTCTTTACTTGCTCAAAAAAAAGGCCA